AAAAAAAAAAAGTTTTTAAAAGTAAATTTTTGCCATTTTGTAATTGGTACATATAAGCCACCATATAATGTATGCTTTTTCAGAAATTGTTAGTGACCGGTGACACACACACTGTTGAAGTAATGAGAAGAAAATAAACTGGACATGGTAAGTTTCTTGCATTGTATTGTTTATTATATGTTCAAAACGTATACTCTAGTTGATTTATAATGCTAAAACGTCCGTAAATTATGCAAGCAGACGATGAATCAGATTGTTTCAGTGTTTTCTCGGCGGAAGATAGGCCTTGTGAGCTCTGCCCTAAATCAAAAAATACAATGCGTTTTCGCGGATGGCAAACATGTAAACATAATGCGTATTTATATGTATAATGTGGTGGAAAGTTATGGTTGTTGATAGATAACGATACATTTGTAATATAAGCTTCATTATAATGCCTTACAAAAGAAATAAAAAAAAATCAGTGGCGTGACTTGATCGATTTTCACAACTACGGAAGTCCATTCGTGCCATAAAAATTACAAAACGAAAATAGAACAACAGCATTTTGCACATGTTGGTATTATTATTGTGTGTCCGTATATTTAACAATATATTATATGAATTTTGTGTTACCACATATATATAAACAGTCGTATTTGTAGATGGAAACCCCGGATATAAAACGAGCTAATATATGTAGCGAGTCTAAAGAATAGGTCTACATTCACTTTTTGTATGAGTGTTGTTGTTGTTGATAACAGTCAATACGGTAAGGTACGTAACAATAAAGCAAACACTTATTCAATGCTTGTTTGTAAAATAACTTAAGAAATGAACACTATTTTTAATTAAAAAATAACACCCTGGAGGTATTTCATAAGAACTCATTAGATAATCTATGTATTCAAACTGTTTTATGTCTTTTTATTTTATGTTTTAAATCCAATAATTATAAAGTTACTTTTAATGTATTTACAGATGGAAATAACGAACTCATCTCACGTTTGTGTTATTTGTAAGGGAAGTTTACAGAAAGAAAAAGCTATTATGCAGTTACGACTGAAAGGGTCTGCTGGTATAAACATTGCAAGCACTAAACGTGGTGATAACATACTCACTGTTCCAGGGTAATATGTTCACACAGAGTGTCTTCAAAATTACTGTAAATGTCATTAAACGTGATAGTAAAACATCTTCACATATTCCTATATGTAAATTGTGTTTACTAAGATCTGGTAATGAACAGTTTTGCTTTAAAGAACAGTGCTTGTTTTGTGGCCAAGCTGCAAAATTATCTGGAAAAAAGCGAAGATTATATGTGTTTCCTGTCAGAATTATAGACTTCCAAAATAGTATTACCAAAGTATGCATTGAACGTGCTGATAGGTGGGCTGATGAGGTCCGAGGATGACTGTAAAGTGTAAGTGACTTGCCAGCAGCATATGCTATATATATCATCAGTCTTATAGTATCCATTTTAGGACTAAGAAGTGTATTCCGGAGGTATTTTCACCAGAACAACAGACACATAGTAAACGGTCGTGCGGAATGCCTGTTCATGCTAACTTAACACGAGGTTTTTTCTCTATTGTCAGTTACCTTGAAGAAAATGACAATGAACAAATTACGATTAAAGATCTTGTTGAAAAAATGACAGAGCTTTGTGGCGATGCTGCATTTAGCCTAACCTGTATGAAACGGAAATTACAGAAACATTTCGGATCATCGATTGTTACTGAAATACACGGAAAAATCAATGTTGTTACTTTAAGGAGCACGACAACTTCGATTCTATATGAATTCTACCAGCGCCAAAAGAGTGAGGATATTTGCAACTGATGGGAAAGTTTGAGATAACCAACAACGAGGTATATCAATATCTCAAATCTGGACATCATGTTATACGTAGAACTGATAGGTATTGGGCTGGATTGTCAACGGATTTTATTATCGAGCAAGTCTTAATGAGAAGCGTGAAGACAAATGGAGGCATGACTAGAGGAAAGGGTATGACAGAAACACAACGAGCTCAGTGGTTACTCTCATTGCCATCGTGTGCAGAGGTAAATAACGCTATGCAGGATTTTAGTGGAACTGTTTATTACACAAGTAATCAACACAAGAGTGTGGCCAAGCCAGAAAGGAAAGGGACCACAAAGACACAAGTACTCCTATATTTTCTAATAGAAAGAAATCCGTTTATCCAAGACCTCTCATTACACAATATTGAAACCTGCGTGGCGTCTGATTCATCTGTAAATGTTTACAACGCAAAATAAAACGGATCGAAAGTCTTACAAAAAATGTGATGGAGTATTCTTTCAAAAGATCCCAGCAAGCAGTGACACTTTACTACATTTTGCACGAAAAGTAGTTTCAAGCACAACACACGTACAGGTACTTACACTTTCTCCTACACCCGCAGCCGCACAATACCACAGCATGAGGGTCTATTTTCAAGTACAAACATAAATCAACTCAAATGACAAAATGTTACCACAAGA